TCCAAAAACATGATAAATTATTATAACATAAAAAAGAAAAAGTAATTCGATTTCTTACATTCTGATCAATCATGAAGATCCAAGAAAGATATTAGGATTAATCGAAAAAAAGAAGAAAAAAAAGGATTTTTATAAACTTTCCTCGTTCATTCGAACGATCCACATTCGAAGTAATTGTTCGTAGCCTAAAGCACGATAGTAGAACTTTCTCTCCGTAATAGCAGTACGCGCGCATGAACTTTCTTCCTTTACTCTTGCTTCGAAGTATTCAACGGTAGATTTTCCAAAAGAGTATCGAACGCGAACGAACAGGACGCATTCGGAAGTAGCATCGAGTTTCACCGTTTACGATTCCCCGAGCAATCTTAAAACAAAGCTAAAGAAACCTTGTATATGTACGTTCTTGATGTGTCAGTGTAACCCAGTGTATTTTCTTTCGCTTGGAAAACGGCCGATGGTGCATTCGCCAAAAGGGATTCAACTGAGAAAGAAAAGAGAAAGAAATAGAGAAAATCGACCGAGTTTTTCGAGAAGAAAAAAGAACAAAATAAAGGAAAGTTAGAAAAGAAAGATACCTTTCGTGAGACTTTCTTTATCGGCTGACCGGATTCAAGAAACAGCTAAGATAAGGATAACGATCCGGGGTCAAAGACGTGACGTTAATTGGAAAAGGGCCACGATCGATCAACCAGTACCACCCCCCTTTTAGTAACGATACAAACCGAGTAATGGTCTGTGATAGTATTGGTGTATAATCCCAAAGGAAAGAGGAATCTTTAATTGGCTTCAACGAAACAGGAATAATTTCTTATTCTAAAGAGTCTAGGCTACCATTGACCCGAACAGTTTTAATCTTATATCTATAAATATATATTATATAGATGATATACAACTACATCTACTTCCTATACTTGTTTATTCGCTATAATTGAAACTAGTAATCTTTATATATATATGTGAGGATTCAGAATAGTTGAAGGAACACCATAGTGTTTAAGTTTTTCACAAAAGAGTGCATGTGTGATGGTATGAGTGTGTGTAAGATTGTAGCGTGAAACGAAGAAGAAAGAAAAGTGTTCTTGTAGATATGTTTTGTTTAGATAGTAAGACTACACCGTCTGGGCCTGTCGCCTTTGTGCAGCTCCATCGAAATCTCTCGAACGATCCCGCTCCGGAAGTACGGAAAAAATCCGTTGTTTATGAGGTAGAATTATCGAGAGGTTTCTGGAGGGAATGCCAGGAAGTGATAAAAGATGATGGAGGGGGAAAGGGCATAAATGGCGACGGAGGGGACCGGACGGCGCATTCCATATTCGGGCATTCCGCAATAGTTCTTTAGTTTACGCGACAACAGATTATAGATATTCACCATTCTCTCTTAAAATAATTATACCAAAATTGGTTAACATCTTTGTTAAGCGTTAATGATTAAGTCAATATTATTATCTTTTATATTTTATTCAAATTAAAATAAAATAAATCTTACATATATTTCTCTCTTTTTTTACAAAAAGACTAATCATAATTCTTTCGCACGTTCCAAAGAAGGGAAAATCGATTAAAGTTAGTCGTAGATTGTTCACGAAAATCATTTTTATTTTTCTCAATGGAAATACGATTTCGAAGGAGTCCGAATAACGTCCAAGGTGGCACGATTTTCCGCGTGACGGAATTAAAGAAAAATTGTTCTTCTCGTCTTGAAAGAATCAATTCCATTGAAGGACGTAAAAACGTGAAAACTCGGATGCCACTCCTTTCCTATCGTACGTACCTATAGCAATGAGAGAGAAATAGAGAAAATAATAAAAGATGGAACAGAAAGAAAACGAATGAACCAGAACAAGAAGAAGAAGAAAAAGAAAGGAAAAGAGAGACGGTCTTTGCAAGGATCGTTCTCGTGTCCAAACGTCGTATAGTAGCCACCTCCTCTCGTAGAGTTCCATTCTCCAACAGTGTAAAGCTTCCCCTAAGCCAGTTTCTCGTGTTTCACAATCTCAAATGAAACAATCGAGTACATTCGCACCGTCGTCCCTTAGGGATGAGAAAATGGAAGAAAAGAGACGAGAGTTTCGAGCATCGGATAGATACAAATCCTGTAAACACATCCAGATATAGTTCAACGCGAGTTTCATTCTTTCGAGCCGAGTGAAAAAGTGAAGGAGAGAAAGAAATAAAAAGAAAGAAGAGACACACTTTGCTACTCCATATCTTCCTGACGCCTGTCTGATTACGGAAACAAGAATTTTTGAATAAACGATGCGACAAACTCGTTCGACTATCGTAGGAGATGTAACTATGTCGATGATTTCAAAAGAGTTCGATTCTCTAACTCGACTCGAGGCTTCAAAGGAAAAAAAAAAGAGAGAAAGAGAAATAACGAATGTCTACAGAAATGGAAATTATAAATCGTTCGATAACACATGCGACCTAGAAAGGAAAGAATCTCAACTAAGCCACGACATAATTTCATTTGATTTTCCACTTGACTGTATCACCTCAATCTATCCATAAATTCTTCTTTCTTCGGCTATCAACCTATTCGATAAAACTTCTCTCGTGTCCGACTAGTAAAAAGAGATAACGAATGTCCGACTAAAAATAATAAAAAAAAGAAGAACGATGCTAACCCAGGATGCATGCGCTAGCTCGCTGGACGATGAGAAAAAGCATACAAACTCCGCGTGTTTGCAGTCAGTTTTTTTCCTCCCCTATGCTGTTTCCTTTCTTTATTTCTTTATTTCTTTCTTTCGTTCGTTCGTTTGTTCGTTCGTTCTTTCCATGAAATAAACTAGAAAATATAAAATGCGTATACGTTGTTCACGAATGTTACATGTGTATATGTATATATAGTAGGTAGAGTCTGGAAAATACTAAAACGCCAAGAAACGAAGCCCTTCTTACCAAAACACCTGTTCAACGTAGTTGCCAAGATGATAAGGAAAAATAAAAAACGAACACGTATTCTGTTCATTAAGGTTTCTTGAAAACCTTATTTCTTTTCACCTCGTTTATACAGCCTGTTATCGAATCCATAGAGTATCGTCGCTTTTCTCGGTTCTCTCTCTCTCTCTCTCTTTCTCCTCTTTGAATTTGAGGCAACGAATGGCATCGACTGAAAAGTTTCTATTCATAAGTTTTCAGTCAATGCTATACCGCCGACTTTGCGGAAACTTGCCGTCGAACTAGCATCGGGTAACAATCGAAAAAGATAAAAGAAAAAAAAAGATAAAAAAGAATGAATAGGAAAAATAGGTGAATTTTTAAACGGGCTACAGCTAACACGCATGGATAAACGTCGTTTTCCTTTCACACTCTACTACCGATCCTTCGACTTCAAACGATTCTACCTTTGTCTATTTGGACCAAATTAACTAGCAGGAACTGCAATAATAATTAGCGGCTTCCCCGACAAGACGAGAGACACAAATTGAAATTGAAAGCCTCCAAGTGGACTTCGAGCGTGTCGACGTGTTACTGACAGCCAAGCTCTATGGGTGGCTGAACACAGACGTCGTGCTTGCAGGACTTTAAAGCGCAAATTGCTCGTATTCCCTCGTCGATCGTTCGAGACTAAATTGCTTCGGTCACCTGACGAACGTTCAATCTCACCTGATCTAGTCGAGTCTTCCCATCCATTGTTTCCAAAATATTTAATCTATCCTGTTAAATGTAATATCGATGTGTTATATACGATCGAATGAATGAAAGTGGTAATAATAAACAGCTATATAATAGCATAAATTATTGTAATAGATATATGAAATCGTATGAATGTGAGTGAGAGCGATTATAGTTTGATTAAACTCTATTAAACTCTATAATGTATTATATAATACTCTCATAAGACGCAGCTTTAATAAAACGCTCTATTCAAAAGGTTTCAATCGTAGATAAAAAAAAAAAAAGCTACGAAACAAATAAGAAATTACGAATGTATGGAAATGTCGAAGATAAATAAATCCTGGATATGATTTCGATTTCCATGTTAAATTAACTCGACTATTTTTGTCCATGATCGAACATGATATAAATGAGTTATCGAAAATAAAAATAGATTTCTTGCTTCGTCCCTGGTATTATCACGAATACGTATTGTTTTTTTCTACAGCTTAAAACTAAATTTAATGGCATCATATTTATAAATCTATCTTTTTTTGCTCATGACAACGCAAGCAGAAAAAGAAAAAAGAAATATGTTTCAATGTAAAAACAATTTGATTAATTGCTAATACAAAGCAAACAATTGAATGATGCATTAACTGAAAATAAAATTCATTTAAAATTAATAAGAAATTCATCTTTACAAATGAATAAAATGAAATATTCCAATTATGAAGGCAAAGCAAGTAATATAAATAGCTGGTTAATAATTAAGACGTTGTTCCGACGAAAGTCTCTGAAGTTTCTGATGAAAACGTCCGGTATATATATTCTTCGTCCCATGGCAATTAACGAAACGAAGTTTCGTTTCCCGATGTCTGTGATATTTTCCACGCTCTCTTCGTTCCTTCTCCAAAGTCCTAGTGCTTGATTTCGCTGTATTCGAGCGAATAAAGGACGAATTAATGTACCTGTATTTGTAAAACTTTCCAAACATATTTGATCTCAAATTGATCAAATTATTGACCAATAAATACAATGTATAATATGTATATATAGTATAAGTATATAATCTTGCTTCCATTACATTAGTAACATAAATTCTTATAATTTCCAAATGCGATATCGTTATTTATATTAACTCGAATAAAATATTAAATTGGTATAAATATCACAAGATTAGTATATGGTATATGTTAATGCATATTGTATGATATTTTTAATTGCATTAAACATATTAAGTACTTACGATTACACTTAATGATTCTGAATAAATATCATACAATAACAGCATCAAAAATACATTTACAATTAATATATATAAATATAGATATATATGTATATATATTAAGATTCATAAATTTGAAAATTGTTTTTATATAGTTATATCACACTTTTAACACATTATTAAAGATTGACTTTTTGAACACTTTATGCATATTAATATGATAGAAGTATAAGTTAAATCATTATTTTCTTTTTTTTAATTTAAGGAAAAGATATATCAAGGCAGAAATAGAAAATATAAATTTGTCAAAAATTTAAAAAAAAATATATATATTAAGGAAGCAGGAATAGAAAGTATACCAAAGAGATTCGTTTAAAATCAATAAAAGAATGTATGATACGTATTAAAATGGATGACAAAGGCAGGGATAAGATCTTATGACAAGGAAGAGACATGGAAGACAATAGGATTGTACATTATAGGAAGCAATAGCTTGGAATATTGATATTCACAACTGGAGATATTCCTGATAAATTTCAGAAAATATTCTAAAATGCCTATAGTCACAACCTTTTTACCCAGAATCGAAAGCCTTGTAATGAATTTAAGTGTCGGTCTGTTAGCCTATGAAAATTAAGGAAATATTCTTTCCCCTGAAACCTCCGATTGCAATAACAGTCAATCTAATTGACTGCCTATGCAAAATCACATTGTCAGCAATAACAAGAGCTATTAGGAGGTGGAGTCTCACGCTCATGACACTTCAAAATTTTTTGATGCGGCAGCAATGATTTATCTACTGTAACTTCCATTCTGCGCATAACATGGTCTAACAGAATTTCTACTGCGCGTTCAACATTTTGTCCTGTAGCAGCACTAGTTTCCAAATATACCAAGCTGGAAATCAATGGTTCAATTACATTCCCTCAAAAAAGCAACTATAAGATTTACGTACACTTATTTCTTCTTTATATGTTTATATATGGAAAAATTCAATATATCATAAATAAAATAATAAGACCTTTAATAAAATAATTCCATAAAGCTTACAGTTATTAAAAGAACTTATAAACTCACCCATGTTTCTCTGCTAGATCACGTGCTTTATACTCGCTAATAACTCGCTTATCCTCAAGATCACATTTATTACCGCAGAGAATTATATCTGGATTTTCACAATACGCATGCATCTGTATGTATATGTGAAAAATAAAGAATCAGTATAAAAGAAACAAAATTATTATAACCCTATATCACAAACATTTAATAAAGTCATAAAGTAACTCATATATTTTTTAAATGAAATCGAACGACAATTTGAGTTTTTTCCTAGCTTATACGTAAACCTAATTGTACCAATTGAAAATGTTATTTCAAGCACATCTACTACATGCTCTAATCCAACTCCATCACCATGCTCGATAAGACCAAACAAACAATGTTAGTTAAATTCCAACAGACTTATCGCATACTCAAAGAATCGTCCGAAAATATTATGCAACGTACTAAACATATGTTAAAATAAATTTCCAATAATCTACTAAATGACAAGTACCCTAAGCTGTTCCAGCCAATTTCTAACTTCGAGAAAGGACAGCTCGTTGGTCAGATCAAAAATTAATAAGAAACCCATGGAATCCCGGTAAAAGGCTGTAGTTAAACTTCGAAACCTGAATGTTAATGATATTAATTTAAATTAACAGTATTAATTTTCTTTTCTAATTATGTTATAAATCTTACAAGAACATCATGCACAATACTAAGAAATATTATTATATTATGCAAACACATTGATGTTGTATTAATTATACCATTATTATTTAGTATTGAATTTACTATCATGCAATTTTTCAAATATATAAATTAGAATCGAGATTAACAAAAATCATAAAAATTATTGTACCTAATGAACATTAATAATGTACCAAAATATACCTCTCTTGGCCTGCTGTATCCCAAAGCTGCAAATGTATTCTTTGGGTACTTCCATCCGGCATTTGATATGTCTATAATCAATATAAAATAATTATTAATAATAGAACTTATATATATATAAGAGAGACTCTACGTTAAATAAAACCAAACTCATACTTACTACTCTCTTTTCTTTAAAATCAATCCCAACGGTGGAGACAAAGCGAGAATGGAAAGTGCCATCGGTGTACTGATACAAGAAACTGGTTTTCCCAACTCCAGAATTTCCAAGGGCCAAAAATTTAATTAAGTAATCGTAATCCATTCTTATTATCTTCTTTTTTCATATGCTTCTTCTGAATAATCAATTTATATAAGTAAAAACTGTATCGATAAGGTACATTCACTCAAAATACTTCTTGTTGCTTCGCATAAAAAATATTTGACATAAAATTAATCTTACAAATTTATGGCAGACTCACTACTACATACAAATATGAATATGTGCGAAATTAGACATAAAAATAAAAATTTATTCATAATCCATTTTTATATATGCATATAGGTATATTTTTCTTGCTTAGGTGTTTCTTCTTTACAAGCAATTAATGTGTCATAAAGGTAAAATGAACCCGTAAAAAAATCGTTTATGTGCATTCGTACAAATAAAATTCTAGTCACTTTTCTCGGCAGGAAATATATTAAATGTTAAATAAATCTTTCAAATTTAGAACTGACTTACACATATACACAAATACGAACATGTGCGAAATTAGACTTTGCCACCTGTTGCCCACGTACGCGATTTTCAAAAGATTCGCGCGTAACAAATTCGGAATGTTACTTAAATTAGAATATTATTTATCTTAAAAATAAGAACTTACGTTTTCTATCCATAAATTTGTAAAATACCTTACAATATAACTTTTTCACACATTGTAACAAACTGTAATTATTCACTGTTACATCGAGAATAGACGACATATGCACACGCGAAAAAATGGCGCCGATTGACTCAGTGCTACCAAAGTCAACGAAGTAATTTCAAACTACTTTTAAAAATAATTCTACTTTCTATAAATTATTTTCAATAAAAATTTCACAATCATATTTTAATTAAAAATATAACGAATGAGATTAATCTTTATAAAATTATAACTTTTTTCCATTAATAGTTTGTATGTTGATGTTAATAATATTAATGATCGATCTTCCATAGGCGGTATATAAATAAAAACGAAATGAGGACATTGTCCGAGTTACAACTGCAAACTATCAATATACATTAACCTACATATTCATGTAACTTGAAATTTTCTATTTAACATGAAATTAATATATTACTGTTGGTAATATAATGGTTATAGTAATGTATCAGCAGATGCGATAGGTTTACTTTATCTCTAATTAAAATCAATTACAAAATTATATCTATTTAATCTCTAATATGTACGATGTTCAAGTTAACGTCGAATATTGGTAAATATAAATATTAATGTTTTTTACAAAGTTCTGTGTTATAAATTATAATTGTAGTAAGGAAATACATTTCTAACCTCTTCATCAAATATTTAAATTTATAGATCATAAATGATCTTAAAATAGCAATCAGGATAATTTTTATTCAAGTTTGTAATATTTTCACAGTGAAAACAGTAGCTGTAAACAACAATTTTTGGACATGGTAAATGTAATAGAGAAGAATGTACCTATGGCCAAAGTGTCTGGAACCAAAGGAAAAGAAGGTAAGATAGCTTTTATATAAAATTTCATATATTATAAATAGATAAACATATGTATATTATTCTTTTACAGAATCTTTTGAAATCAAGATTAATGATCAATTAGTTTATTCAAGACTTCAGACACTAGCATTCCCTGACTATGAAGCGGTTTGTGAAACAATCAAAGATGTATTCAATGGTGAACCTGTAAAAAAAGTTACCAAACAACAACCTATAGAGTGTGTAATATCATGATTTTTGTTTAAATATGTCAGGTAGAGTAAAATATTTATATGAATATAAATTTAATTACACTTACTACATATCTGTAGTATAGTAATTTTTATATGTATATATTTTAAAATATATACTTTGCCATATAAAATGATCATTCAAAATATACTACATCTCCAATATTTAATATTCCTTCTTTTATCGATGGTCTAGTAAGATATATGCCAAATCTTAATTTTCCATGAAATTCCTCCGCTAATGTACGTAATGGTTCTACTGTTTTAGCGCCTGTTGTTTGATCAATGCATATCATTTGACACCGATTGCAAGGCCCATTTACCTAATACGCATAATGTTTACAAAATTAATTCTATATTCTGTTTAAGAATAATATTACTAATTTATATTAATTAACAACCTGGAATTTGATTTTGCCTATTTGTATTACTTTCCATTGAAGTTCTTCGAAAGCTTTGCAACCGCTTAAAATGATGTTTCCTCTAAATCTATGCACTACTGTATTTTTGTTAAAATCTTGCGTATCAGTAATTTTACTGCATAGCCATAATATGCTTTCTTCGTTCAATAAGAGATATTGAGCTTGACTTGTAAAAGATAGTTTTGGATTATTTAATTCTTGAAAAGAAAATACATAATTAGAAATGCATAATGAAATGTATATAAATGAAATATTCCTTTAATGTACCTTGTTTTGGTTTGTCTTTAGTTTCGTGATCAGCTTGCTTAACAAGTTTTAAATTTGGACGACCAATAACCAAACTCAACCACTCAGACACATCTCCCCCGCAATCAATGCCTTTAACTTTTTGTCCGCAAACTCTACTTTGGCATATCGCACCATTTATATAATTGTCAGAATACTCCAAAGGTACTTCTATTGATGGCATTCCTAAAAGATTCATTATAAAATAAAAAAAAAAAAGAAACAGGAAATAATTATAATTATTAAAAAAACAATATTTAAAAATAGAATTTACCTGGATATGTTAATTTCATGACTTCAGTTTCTTTACATATAAATGGTTTAATTAAACAGAGATTAGTTTGTTGCTTTTGAGTCAAACAAACTCCATTTGATGTCATTATCATCCACTCTCTATCATATTCTAAACCTTTTTCATTCAAAGTCCAAGAAGTAGTTATTTCAAATGCGCTACATGACTTTATGGGATAAATAAATAATTTTTTGATAATAATATTACTTTTGGAATTATTAGTGTTTTGAAAATATTTTGCACCATATAAAAATGACGAGTACCATGCCTTACTCTCAAACTCTTTTGTATTATCTTTATCATTTATAACATATTTTTTATTTTCAGCCTCAGTATGATGCGATTTACGAACTTCTGGTACACATATGTTCCTTTCTGGTTTGCTAACAAAACATTTAGTGATCATTTGTAACAAAGTCTCAATATCTTCGATCATAGACATATATCCGATTGAAATTCGCACAGCACCAGTTGGTCTACCATTTATTAAATCTGCAGTACCACCACACACATAGCCTGCGTCATAATTTTTTAAAACGTCTTCATTTTTAAGGGACAGATGTCTTTGGCATGCACCAGGATTGCAGAAACAACCAGTTCGAAGATGTATTTTAAAAAGAGCAGCCATATGTGCAACTTCCATATATCCAACATATTCTCCATTTGATCTAAGTATATTAAATGTAATGATACCTCCTTGTAAGTTGGGATCTTCATAGTTATTATCTGAATAAATTTTGACAACAGGCGCACCATTATCATGACGCAATCTTAATAGAGTATGATGTAAATATCTTGCAAGTGCAAATACATGACTCGATATTTGCTTCATAGTAATTTTTGAAAGTATATCTAATCCATACTGCAATGATATTATAGATAAAAATGGTACAGTTCCATCTTCAAACCTAAAAGTATTGTAAATTAATTATTGTAATATTATAAAAATATATTATTTTTAATTTACCTTTGATGTAAATTTAGACGCTTCACATGAAATAATTCAGAACTAAGAGTAACTTCTACAGTGCCACCTCCGTAATAGATTTTTTCAAGAACGTGCGCACTAGAATTCTTTACTAGTAAAGCACCAATACCGGTTGGGTATCCAAACATCTTGTAAAAAGATATACATACAAAATCTGGTTTAAATACAGATAAATTTAAATCATTTGTTGGTACAAATCCTGCCGCATCTAGGAGAACGTACCACTTTGTATTTAATTGACCAGTTACACTAGAAAGCACATTATTTTGTGCATTTTTAATCCACTTAAGTGGATATTTTGCACCAGAAAAATTGCACTGGGCAGGATAAACAAAAAGAGAATTATTGTTGCTTGCTACATTGTCGTTAAAAGAATTTACTGGTTGTTCTAATACTTGAAATGCATGTTTATGACTAAGACAAGTTACTTTAATTCCTTTTTGGGAGATAACTTCTCGCATTCCAAGTACTGAAGTATGATTATCTTGTGTATAAACAAAATCTCCTGTAGATTGAACTTCATTATTTTTATTATTATTGAATCGAAATGTTTCAGCGACCACTTTTAATGATTGTGTTGCACCTGATGTAAATATGATACTGTATTCCTCTGATGATGTATGAAAATGACTCAATATCCTAAAAAATTATAATATATAAAAGATTAAGCTACGAAGTAGTTAAATTTATTACAAAAATTATATTTAAAATATAAATAAATTTACCTATGTCTTATTTGCTCAATATTATCATGAGTAATACCACCAGCAATGCCTATGGAATGTGGATTGCCATAGAGAGAGTTACATAAGTCATCACTTACACTTTTTATTTGTAAATCAGAATAAAGTGTAGCACCAGCATGATCCAAATAACACTGTCCTATGTGTGTGTGTTTGTGGAATAAAAATAATATAAAATAATAATGCTATAAGATTATACATACACTTGTAATCAGTCCAGTTTTTTTTTAAATATGATGATATGTTCCAATGATCCCATATGCAATGTTTATTTACCTTGAAGTCTTGAAAATTCATTTCGAATATTTGCAGCGATCCTTTTATCATAAACAGGTTTATATTGCAAAGTTTTTTCTGATTCTTTTTCCATTCTTAAATCTCTTGAAAGTGCCTCTTGACGTTCTTACGATGTTATGATTACTCTTAAGTACATGTAACTACAAAAACGGGAAACCGTTACTCAACACGACTGCAACCATTGGTTACTATCTTAAGTACTTGTAGAGTAGATTGTAATGAAAATAATAAGATACATGCATTCAACGAATTACATATGATTAAATATCAATAATATTTTTAAGTTTCTGAGAGTAAATAAATTCGTTGTGACGTATTCCGATATATCTTGCACAATCATAATAATAATAACGACATGAACAAACACTTAACATATATAAATACGTGCATATACATGTGTGTGGGTGTTTGTTCAATTGCAGCGTCATTGAATCAATCTATAAATTATGCCATATGTTGCAATATAATTTTTCTTTCCAATTTTATTCAACCGTATTAATATATACAGTGAACTATTACTTTCACTACAGAGTAATATTTTGATGTAACATAGAATCATATCTATATTTAGTTAAATATTTATATTATTTAATTTTTCACATAATATGTTTATTAAGCAATTTAAATAATTATTAAAACATTTTAGTTATTATATATATTTAGAGACTTTCCTTTCGTGTGACGAGGTGGCCGAGTGGTTAAGGCGTTGGACTGCTAATCCAATGTGCTCTGCACGCGTGGGTTCGAATCCCATCCTCGTCGGAAAATTTTTTTTCGTTCACAATTTTTTTTTAACTTATAGTGTACATACTATATATAGGATAATTATTTTCTATATGTACGTAATTTACACTTACAGCCTTGTGGATTATTTATCCAGTAGATAGCAAGGAATCTCTAAACAGGAATTACGAAACTATCTATATTTCATATGAAGTCATGTGAGTATCGCTTTTTATTTATGAAAAAAAAAATAACAAGATGGCAGAGAGTGAAAAACAAGCTGCCGATAAACAAGAAGAAGAAGAAGAAGATATTTCTAAATCTGAATACAGTACGAACGATAATATTTTCGATCCTAGCAATGAACAAATTAACTATGTAAATTACATGCACCCTACAGTGAGTAAAAAAAAAGGTTACATAGATTTGACAAATTATAAACGAAATTATCGAGATATGGAAACTCGTGCTAATGCCCAACAAAGTAAACGTCAGTTTATGCAAAAATCGAAGGGCTTCACAAATATAGAAGACCGTTCAGAAAAAAGAGAAAATGGTAAAAATGTTTCGTCAACGTTTACGGACGAAATTGATGCTGAAAAATATACGAAGGAATCTAAGAAAGCGATCGGAAAAATAACGGAGATACATGAGAGCGATAAAATTGACAGGTCGAATGCAACGCATAAAGACGGAGACGTTTCGATGGAAAATATCCCTGTTGGAGATGACAAGGAAAATGTTTCGGGTATGAAACACGATATATGTGTGTATATATATATATGAATAACGTAACGAAGAAATAAAAAATTATGCATATCTGTAATTAAAAATAAATAATATAAATACATTACTCTCTTTTATAAAATTAAATTCAAATATTTGTAAGTGGATTGGTTGAAAATTATTGAGACTAATATTGAAACAATTTTGTATTTTTCGAAGCTCAAAATTATTCAATCTATTCACATATGCGTTAGTCTAATTGTAAATAGAATAAAAATTAAAAAACAACCAAAACTTATAGAACAGACCAACATACTGCCGGAGGAAGCATACATCCAACATATGGAACGTGTCATCGCATCGAATACTCTTCCTTCACGAAACATGGAAATTCTTGAAAATTTATACGCTAGTTACAACTCCGATAAGAAGAAAACATCTACGATAGAGAAAATTCATATTGAAACTGACGTTCGTACTTTGGAACCTAGTGAAAGTAAAACTGTTACTCGGGAACAAATGGAACAAGTATCGACAAGCGAAAAGGGGAAAGCTATTCTTATTTCCAGTTCCAAGGACATTGATAATGTTCACCAATCGGAAATGCAGGACATAACTGAGAACCTTATTTTGACTGAGTCATCAATTTCTATTGTTGAGAATGACAATAGAAAATTGGAATCGTTGGAAAGTGATTCGTTAGCGAAAAAAGGTGAAATTCTAACGAGCACGCCGAACAAGAGTGTCGACAAAATCAATGCTACCTCTAATATCGATAATACAAAGAACGATTCATATAGCCAAACTTTTATAACGATAGAAAATCCTTTTTCTGATTTTACGCTACAAACGGTCAAACTTAAAACGAAAGTAGGAAATAGTTTAATCGAGGAACGAAATAACTTTACCGACATTAGCGAAAATTCGCCGAGTAATTTAATATCGTACGACAGTGAAAACGTAACAATGTTGGAAGAATCTAAAATCATAAATTTTTCTGAACAAAATGATACTACGACCGATAGTAAAGAATTAGTTATGATAAATCTTTTACAGTGTAATTGTACTGATGTAAGAACGGATGCAACGAATAATGAAAATGATGATAATAATAATAACAACAACAACAACATCAACAATGATAATGTATCGATAATTGAACGAATCCGTAGATATTTTTTATCTTCATTGATAGATTACTTGCTATCTTCACAAATACCGAACATTGAAAATAAAATTTCTCTTTACCATTGATACGTCAATTCGATCTACATGATTAACGTTTTACCAGAATTTGAGGATTGGAAAAAAAAATGATTTCACGAATTTCTGTTTTATCAAATTTCTAATCACAAGTCCAAAATGAAAGGGAAAGGCCCCGGGGGGATTCGAACCCCCGATCTCCTGTTTACTAGACAGGCGCTTTAACCAACTAAGCCACGGCGCCTTCGATGGACGCTAGTTCAGAACTATTCAATTTCATTTTTGTGATATTTATAATAAAATTATTGATTTTATTTCTGACGTAGAAAATTATTAAATGTATGAGTGTGTATATATATATATACGTGAACGATGTTTATACTTACCAACTGGATTTGATCAGATAATTTAAAATCCTTCGACAAAAGTAGCTCCGCTTTCTTGTTGAACAAATTTCTGTAAAGATAGACGAACAAAATCTTACTGGACAATACTATTTCCTTTTCTCTTATAATTTATACTTTTTTCAACTTTGGATACTAGCCATTGAGTGTATTTTAGATAACTAACAATGAGTTTTTATTTGGATTCCTATTTACATTTCTAATCTAGCTTACTGTGTGCGTACACCACTATACCACTATGATGCATAAGTATCCATACTTATTGTTAAAATATCATGCTCAAAGAATTCTTTATTGTATAATATTTACGTACTAATACTTGGATTATTTTTGTAATCAGTAGGTATATTTTTAGATTAATTTTACGCTTATCTTTTTGATTAGTTGGTGTATTATTTTCATATTGAAGTAGACTGTTATGCTATGTGGTATTTATTTGTTATCAGTTTGCTTATTGTTGCGGAATAATAATGAAATGTTATCGTCATTTTGAACGAGTCCAACGAAATTTAGATAAGTAAAAGATTACGGTGGCGTGTAGCCAGTTACTTTGGATTTCTTTTTAGAAATATTCCATTCTTTTTCTCATATAGATCGAGTTATAGATAATATTATTTAAGATAATATTATGCACTATTTTCCTAAAGTTTTTTTCATTAATTTTAGTATAAATAGGTTTATTCTAATTACGCCCGTTTCTTTGTAGATTTTTATTATTACTAACACATTTCGTGTAATGCTCTTCCTGACCATCAGTTCGGGTTTCGGAAAWACCATTCARCAATTRAACAGGTCCATARAATAAMTCGTCAACTATCGCAAGATTTTGAAAAGAAAAAATACTGCTCCGCAGTATTCCTGGACATAAGGCAAGCTTTCGACAAAGTCTGGCACACCGGACTACTT